GGGCTGGAACTGCCTCCACAGTGGCCCAAGGAGCTCCTGCCATTCTCCAGCCAAGGTCACCTCCTGGTTTGGGCCCAGCATGCGTCCGACACACCCAGAACAGGGATGATGGTGCCGCAGGGACGGGGCCGTCCTTCACTCTGCTCCCACCTTTCAAAGCTTCACTCTCACCACAGAGGAATTYTGCATCACTTAATTGTCTTGATGCTCTTTGTGAATTAAATTAAATTGGGATCACCAAGCACACACTGTCAGCTTTAGCTTCGGGCATCTTCACCTTTAGATAATTTCTAACAGCAAAGGATGTCTCAAAACATGTGGCTGTTAACACCTTTCAAATCACATCAGTGGCTAAGGAAAAAGCAAATGTAAACCTCCTTCACAGGTGATGCTTCATCCTGTCCCATTTAACGAGGAAGACAGACAAGAATGATACCACTGTTCCTTTTCATATTAATTGGCAGAAATTATCTTTATTAGAAAAATGAATTTTTCATATATTTACAATTTTTACATCATGTTATACTTGGCACATGTGTTCTTCCAAATAGTTATATACATTTCAGTACACACAGACATTCAAGTCCCCCATTCCCTTAATGTTTTTCTACATATTTAACAAAAAAAAATGAACACAATACAATTTATAAGACAACCATAATAATTATATATTTCTCTATCATAAAAAGTTTGAAGCAAACATTTTTTTTTTAAGATATGTTTCAAAATATTTATACAGTATTAGCACTCAGTCATGCACTGGGTTAGAATATGGTCAGGGGAACTGCAGTGAGACAGTGTGTGAACACAGRAGAGAAGTGTGTGCCACACAACAGCTGAACTGTGTGTGTGAAAATCCATTTCACTCTGCTAAACCTAGCTAATAAAACAGGCAGTAACTGGAATGTCAATTTTAAATATTCTAGTTTTCCCCAAACCCTTTCTTTTGAAGAATCTACGAGACTGTCAATTTTATAATGAAATTCTGGATTCTTTTAAAAATTATTTTCTGGTTGAYTGCATTTCACCAATATTCTTTTATTTCTACTTTAACATCCTGATTTATTTCCCCAGGTATTAAGAGCTCAAGTATCTACTATTCGTTGCTAGWAACTGGAAATTTGTGACTTACCCTTTTGGTTTGAAGTATGACACTTTTGARAGAGTTACAGAAAATTACACTAGCAAATAACAGAAGTGATAGGCTTTTTAGTTTAGTGTATGGAATTGAATGGTTCCAAGATTTCTGGTAAAAATTTTATTAGTGGCATGCAAATTTCTCCTACTGCAATGCTCCATGTAATCAGTACAGATTACCACACCTGGAGTTCTTTTCTCCCACCAAAAAAAATACTATTTTTCCAACTGTACTAGTAACTAATTTTCTTTGTGAGCACAATCCTAAGTTAATATTGTGAATTCTCATTTTCTCGGCTGCATTTCRTTTTTCATAGTTCAACTGCAAAGAATTTCTAACCAAACTCAAAACAAAAACACGTTGCTTGAAACTGTTAATAAATTATTGTAGAATCTTTGTCACAACACTGGATTTCTGTCTAGCCCCTCATTCTCCCCAAAAACTTTATACATATACATATTTATATATAGCTTATATATATATACACATGTATATGTASGAAAACTGATCAGGACAACACATTACATTGACATTATTCAAGTAAACAGGTAAAAAATGTTTTCTAAAGTGTACTTTGAGATTTTAAAATATTTCTGGTGGGTTTTGTTTAGCAGCACAGAAATATTAGTGTCTCATCTGAGCCCACAAATATCCTTAAACAGGATGAAAGGAAGCACAAAATGCCCTTCAGTGTAAATTTGAATCTGAKGAATTAAAATCAACATTAACTCACAGGTGAAGTGCTTCCAAGACCCTGAAATGCGTGCATGCAAATTTTGCATTCAAATGGAGTAATGAGTTAGGAATCAGGTATGAGTGTGCCTGACACATTAATGAATTCTATTTGTGCCTCCTGGTTTCAGCAGGGAAGGCAMGAGATCCACTGGCATGGGGGTGTGAGGTGTGAAGACAGAGAGATCAGCCTGTTCCTCATCAGTGCAAAATGGACCTTCTGAAACGAGGGAGACTATTTCAAAATATTGTACCTGGCATCAAGGGTGAACTGCAAGCAGCTCTTCCTGAAATTGCACTGCTTTCCTTCCCACCTGCACACAGTTTTACGTGGAGCAATTCCCAAAACTTTGCAACATGAGGTTTGCTTGGGGCTTTTTAAAATCTGAGTGTGAACTGCAGTAAGGATCTGCTCTCTCCCATCACTCCCTCACACATCCCTATTTGAGTCAAAAGGTGTTTTGCCTAAGTTTGGAATTCAAACTAGACCAGATAATAATGAGCTAAGCAAAAATTTTCTTCTTGCAGATGAAGAACTTGAAACCAAGTTCTGCTCCAAAACACACTTGCAATGAACAGTAGACAAAATATGACCCTACAGAATTTATTGTTTCTTTGTTAAGATGGAAAAATTAATAATTATCCAACTTTCCCTTTCAAAAAAATTTCAGGAATAACTTCCAACAATTCATTCCAAGATTTTTTTTTTGTTCTAAGTTTTAGTTAGAGCAGTATGAAATTTAGAAAAGAAGCCAAATACCACAATCATCCCTGGGTGGAAATCTCCACATCACCAGCACTGGCAAGCASAAAAGTCTGTGCATGGAGAGAAGTGATTGTGCCTTCCTGCTAAATCCTGCCTGGCGTGCAAAACCCATTTGGGAAAGGGCCCAGTCTGCATGGGAGAGCACATGGGCRGCCACTGGCGCACACACCAGCTGCTCTTTCCTGCGAATTTCCTTCCGGAGGGATTTTGTTCCGGAGCTATCCCTCCTCAGCTGCCTTAAGCAATGTGTTTAAGGACCAGAGGTGGATCACATGAGCTGACACCAAATTCAAGGTCAGTCACCAGCCCAGTAGAGCCTCTCTGGCCAAGATTTTCAAACTAGTTATAAAAGACATCCTTTTCCTACAGCTTGGTTATGACAGCAAGCATCAATTCCAGCTYTTCCGGAACATTCTGACGCGTTTTCGCGTGTCCTAGCACAAAGCAATCCTGACCCAATGAGTCCTTGAGCCCCTTCTGTAACAGGTACTGAACACTACAAGAAACGCTGCTAGAGGATTTCTAGATGTGGGAGGTTTGGAAAGGAGAGAAGAAAACCACTTAAAATAAAGCAGTGCTGAAATGTGTCCCACGGCTTCGGGAGATTACTCACGCATGACTGGGCTGGAAGGTGTATGCACGCACGCCTGTGTATACTGTATATATATTTAGGTTAACAAGTTTAAACTATTAATAAACAGCATCTTATGGTATTTGGTAATTAAAATATCAGGCTTGTGTCATTCAAAATAGTGCAACCTACATAGCAATATACAGGAAAATTACACACATTGTTCCTGTTACCGTTGATATGCTTGTGCATATCAAGATGACAGGATACCCTTTTCCATAGGATTAACCATTTGCATATTTAATTGTATTCTTTGGCCCATTTTCCTGTGAAACCTCGTATGAAAACATAAAGACTTTGGCTTTAAMAGAAAAAGAAAACTCCCGCTTACTCAGTTACTTTCAGAAAATTAAATAGAATTCAAATTAGTTAAAAATTATCATCTCCTCCAGAAACTGCAGACCCCTGTCACAGACTCCCCCCCACCCCTAGTGTGGCTTACTGTGAACCTGTTTTTTATTTTCACTTTTTGAAGATCATTTACACTTGTTGCACAGCACATCCTCCAAGAGTGCTGTGGACTCCTCTAATCTTGTCCCAGCTGGGAACAGGGAAGGTCCCTTCCCCTGGMGCGCSGAAAGGCAGAGCAGCCTCCTCAGGGCCTTCCACTGCATCACTACGAGTCCAAGTTCAGGGTTTGCAACGTGAGACAGAAGCCAAAATACATTCCCAAAAGGTTTTTGCCATTAAACACCATTATTAAACGGGCTCAGGAAAAAAGAAATTATCAGACAAAAGAATGCTGGAGTAATGATGTAACACAAATCTCTTCAAAGCGGTTACTTATGTACTGCAATGCACAAAACAAATTGAAAAATGTAATCTCATAATGCATTTGCTGAGAAAAACATATCATTTCTTCTAATAGTACCAGAAGTGCAAAACAAGACATTCTCCATTAAAATTTCATGTCACTGTAAATATTACCATTTTCCCACATTAAAGCTTAGTACCATTTCTGAGAAGTGAGGAAACTCGTCAATTCCCAAGCAAAGTATCATCTCACTTGGAACTTTACAGTGCACTGAATAAGTATCACAATATTTATTGGTATTTATTTTCACAGTTTTCTAACGTGCACAGAAATATAATTTTTGAAATATATTAGTGAAAACAAATACTAATACAAAAGGGAAAGGACCAAACATCTAGGAGTATAACTGCTTATCACCACTACTTTTTAAGAGTTGGAGAGTCAAAACCATCTCTCTTTTAAATATGTARTACTATATTTAGTGTGGTTATCTATTAATAAAGGTATTGCATGACAATGTTACAGCATGGCTATATTCTCTACTAATTTAGCCTTGTTTTCAATACAGGTAAAGAATTAAGCAAAAGGAGTAAAAATTGTCATTTAAGCGCAAAACAACAAAAACCTGGTCAATAGTGAGGTAACTTATTTTTACTTATATTATTTCTGGTTCTTAAATTATAGATATGACAAAATCAGCACAAAATCAGCAGTGGATTCTTACAGCTGTTAGAATGGCAGRTTTTTTTTTTTTWAAAGAACAGTTTCAACCAAGGCAGATACATTCTGCAGTATGTAACAAAAAAGCTCATGATGCCACGAGGAGAACCAAGTGCATTTTCACTGCATTGCAGGGTGATGCACACCTGTATTCCTGGCTTCCAAAGTGGCAGGACTTTGGAAGAGCACAGATTTTTAGAGCGCAAACTCTGTACACAGGTCGAGAGAAGCASGGGGRRAAAAAAARKTWAAAGCCGGAGKGAAGGGAATAAATGAAGAGCTTATTTACAGAGAGTGCAGAAAGCCTCCCCAGCAKAGCAGGGAGAAGCAGGGCAGGATTGCAGCTCCCTCGGGTCGGTGAAGATTCCAGGGAGCACAAGCAGCCGCCTCCCCCGGGACAGACACGGCAATGGGGTGAAGATGGGAGCCGCTCCACAGTGACAGCCCAGCAGCACAGGAATTTACACTATGTACAGTATGTGCACACCACACAGACACTGTGCATGGCCACAGGGATGGAGGGGACACAACGGGCCTGGGGCTGCTCCCATTTAACCACAGCTTCACAGGCGATTCCAGCCAGAGCGCAGCGAGCCTCGCCTTTAWCGCACCGCGCTCCTGTCTGCACTGACTCCACCACAAACAAACAGCTGTGATTAAACCGAGCTCCCTCAGAGCCACAGCAAATGCTGACACGTAACTGACACACTGAAATACGACACAACAGGTGAGTTGGGCAGGGAAATGGCTCATATCGTAAGTCACACTTGGAAAGGCCTTTATGTTCTTTCAGAAGTTCCTTCGGCACTGCTATGTTTGGAAGGCTCAGCTCTCAATAGAAAGGAAGTTCATATTAAAAATTTAAAAACAAAAAAATCATTGGTAAGAAAATAATTTAAGTCTATCATTGGAAAACTGGTTTTATGTTGCAAATCAGACTGCCCTACACAGGAAAGGTCTCTGCTTTAAAAGGATTTCTGAGCTAAGACAGAACCAGAGCTGGGAAAGTTTAGCAAGGGAATGTAYGACACTCATCTCAAAAGAAACACACAATGTGATGATTAACACTTGACACAATTTAGCCAAGCAACAGGATAGTAATTTTTTTTATATTAACTAGGAGAGGGCTTTGTCATAAAAGTTTTGATTTCACTAGGTTTTATATATTAAACATCTTAAATGCAATGTAAAGCAACAAATAAAATCATCTCTTGAATTCTTCCTAAATCCAGGCAGATTCTCAGTCCCTTCGATTCATGACACAATTTCTGTTTTATGCTGACAAATCCAGYAAGGGAGGGAACAGTACCAAAATCTTCCCCATCACTATGGTGCATTTGCTACACCGCAGAAATATCAAAATAGCAAGTTATTCCACAAGGAATGATTCTGACACTTTTCTCCCATGCTGGGCAGTCACGTGGTATAAAGCAAATTATGATYCCAACTATGCAGGGGGTGCTGCAAACCCCACAAAAACCCCAATTTGCATGAGCACAGGAACCTTTAACACCTCCAAGGCTGAACCTGGCACTCACTTGCAAATTCATCTGGAAGATATTTGAGGCTGGGGATAAACAGACCATTGCTTTTCTAAGCCCACCTGAGACACCTGGGCCAGGAGCCTGTACTTTCTAAAAAGTCAACAGAGAGAGGTAACATCTTCCTGGACACATCCCTACATAACTCCAAAGCCTTCACTTCTCTGAACTTCCACCCAGAGGGARCTTACTTTCTCTTGCTTTCTCTCTCTCTCCCCACTGGTAGCAGAAAGAGCTCAGCCTTCCAGCACAGAAACCCAAAGCTACACACACAGCTCTAGCTTTTGCTTTCTTTAAAACTGTATAAAAAAGATTTGCTTTCATTAGGAAAAATAAACCACACCTGATTTCCGCTGTGAGCCTTATTTCACCTCTTAAGTGTTCCTGAAAGACCATAAAGAGACATGTATTTATGAGATGCTGCCAAAACACGGTGAGCTGGCGGTGATTTCATTTCTGTTTGTCCACAGCACTTTCTCCTAACCAAGCTTCTTAGATAGCAGAGTAATGAATTCTGAGCAAAAGCTGCAAAAACATTAAATTAAATTTTCCAGAAATGCAAAATCTCTTAATTTTCCTTAATTTTATCTTATATATTRAAGTATCTTATTTCCATGCTTTTAAATTAGTGGGTGGCTACACTGTTCTAAGAAACACAAGCAGAACACAAAATCTATTGAGAGGAAAAAAGGAAAATTTACTGTGGTGARAAGGGAAAGACAAAAACATGAAGAAATTCTACAATATCTTTAAAAGAGGAAAAAAAGCAAGAGGCAGGTATGTCTACGTAGCTGTTTTTACCTCCATGTACCTACTGCATTCCTCAGCAATTCAATATCCTGCCTCCATAAAAGGTGTCRTCCAGGAGCAGTGTAACACTACAGGACATGCTACCAAGAATGGCCCATATCATTTACAGCCTGATTCAGTTCCAGCTGGAGTCACAGGAAATCTTGGTGATAGGAATGACCAACAAACTGCTAGAGCTGTAATCAGGAAAATGTAACAAGTCACCAGCACCATCCAGAAAGGTACAGAAAGGATGGCCACTTATGCAGGAAGATTCTTTTCTCCTCTTCAAGTATAGCAGCAGCTAGAGTGAGAGAGAGGGAAATACAGAAAGTCTTGATCTCAGTTTAATTGAAAGTCAGTGCAAATATATCAACAAAGCTCAGGCAAAATTCAGAACTCCACGCGCTCTACGGCTGAGCCTCACAAGCTGTGGCTTGTGGCTCTGTTGAAGATTTTTCTTCAACTTCTCTGCTGCTTCTTCTTTACACGAGCACATCTGCAACCGCACCGGCCGCTGCCTGCAGCCCTGCCTCAGCTCTCCTTCCCCCTTTACTGACTCGCATTTATGCCAAGATCAAAACAACAAATGCATGCAGAMTCTTACTCCCTCTACTTTCAGTATCTGGTGGGGTTTTTTCCTCCTTTAAGGCAGCATCTTATATTTCCATGTGAACAACTGCTGTGCAACATGATCAAGTCTTCCCTCTGTCTCTTTATTTTGGTTTAGGGCAGGGGGTTGTATTGCATATTGCAGCTACTAATAATAAATCTCTACAATCACCAGAAATCTGCTCAAATCAGAAAAAGGAAACACTGCAATATATTTTGTTATAGCTAATTTGTTTGTACATTTCACAGAAAGATAAATCTACCTGGGTTGAGGATGTTTACAATTGAATCTCAAGAGAGAAAATGTAAATGGGAATTTTTCTTTCCCACAACATCACATACAGTACTTGTATTAATACTGAATTACGTGTGTCTGGTTAGATAGAGATGATGATACAGAAGACTTGGAGTGATCAACAAATACTTTGTGAGCTTTATGATGATGTGACAGACAAGAGCCACCACTGAGTTTTATGATTTACTTGGTAAAATGCTCAACAACTTCCATGGCAGGTTTTGGCATGACATCAGCAAATATCCTATYTGCTGAAAAACACCAGAGAGTTCAAAACACTTCAGATTTTAGTTAATACACTATGATTGGGGTTGGCTATTAAAGTTTGCCTGAAATATTTCTATTATACTCATTACAACATTATCCTTTCAGTGCATTTGCCGTCCTGAAGACTTTAGAGCAAAGCATACTGTGTCTTTGGGAAAAGGTTTGGGGTCATGATGAGCAGTGCTCATTCCACAGACATCCTAACCCTGCTTAGCTCACACAGCTACTCCTAAGAAATCTGAGATTCTCTAAGGGCAGGAAGGAACTTCTGTTTATAAAAAACTCCCTCCAGTGAGAAACCAGAAAGCATCCCATGTGAATCGGAGCAAAAAATTATGACCAAATGTTGGATAAAGAATACCCAAAACATATTTTTACCTGAACAATATAGAGATACCCATAGATATGCTTTCTGATCACACTTATAATAAAGTATATAAGATTTCTGGAAGCTGGAAAGAGACTCGGAAGCCCAAATCTCATTACGTTTCATTCCTTAGAAAATATCATCCTTCACCATCATGGTGAAAATACAAATACATTTGCAAATACCAAGAACKCATTCTGGACTTCAATAGTCCAAGTTAGTTTAAATTGGTTTAATTTTTTTTAAAAAAGCTGTAAACAAAATTCAAGAAGCTTTATTTTGACTATCCCTACGCACCACTTATATTATCTCCCATTTGCAACTCTGCAGTATGCTGTTCTAAATTAAACACCTTGCATACTGCACCTCTGGCATGCAGATGCTCCARTTACAGCTGACAGGCACAATTCTGCTCAAAAGGGTTTCAGTTTAGAGAAAAGTTAGGGTAATATTCACATTTTCCAATTCACAGTGGTAATGGTTTCCCTGCTCACCGTTATTCAGTGAAATGGAGGGAATAATGCCTGAATTATCTACACAAAAATCCTAAAGCAATTCTCAGAGTAGCAGGAAAATGGGAGAGCACCACCTCTGGAACACTTTCARTAGCTAAATGTATTAGCAATTATATTTACTTCTTTAGTTGAAATTAAATTTACAGCTGTACACTCCATTCCTGAAAGGCTTCCTCTCATCSCTTTCATGCTCCCTTCTGGTTAAAATCTAGTGGGTTTTTTTTCTTCCAGTGAGGGTAAGGAGGGGTGTGAAGCAGACATTTTATTTGTGAAATAATCTGATTGACATTTATAGAAGGAAAAGTCATATAACAATCCATCCCTGTTATGTGAATACCTTTGTATAACAGTAAGTGATAATAAAGATACTGTTTCTTAGTTACGTGTGCATATATTCAGTTTATAGAACAGACTTGATTGGAGAGGTTAGAAAAATGGTCTGATGTTCAATAAATATGCACAATATTGTGGAAGGAAGAAGTCCTTCCAAAGGTGTTAATCCTTCTCTGTGAATGCAAATAAAAGGTACCGCGCTCCTCGCTGATCACACTGAACTTATGGCTGTCGGTGTTTGATACTGTATTAACAGCTTTAATACTATTAATTTACAATTAATTAGTTGTCACTAATACACTATGAACAAAGAACTACAGTGGGTTGGGATTTGGTTTGGGAAGCAAAACAATAAAAGAAATACTATACAGCCCTGAGTAATCACCAGTAAGGGGCAAATGCAAACTTACGTACACATTAGGCCTCAAGGTTACTAATAAAGTCCACAGCTCCATAGTAAGTGCCATATAGTGATATCTAAAAATATATACTCTGGATTAGGCAGCTGTGAAATTTCTGACAAGATTACTGCAAACTTTTCAATGAGCTTACTTTGTAATGGTAAGTGCRTGTGCAATATAAGAAAAGCATTTGTACATGAACATTAACCAATATCCACGGGGCTTCCTTTTGGTACACAGCAGTTCACATGTTTGGGGTTACTGCCTTCCCATCTACTGTCTGTCAGTCTAGAAGGAACATATTAATTTTGTGCTAACACATTGGGTTGTATTTATTAAGGTCCTGGGGCTTGGGGTTCTTTTAAAATTATTATTTGGTTTTGAAAATGATTATGAAGCTAAAATATATTTTTGGAAGTCTTAGCTTTCTGTTCTCTTTTAGAGTCTTACTTTTGAATCTGTGCAAATGCATCCCTACTTCTTGTTGTCTGTGTCATACTACATGCATACCATATTGCTTATCCAGTACTAGAAAATCATTAAACATTTCTAAGGACAAAAGTACATTGAATGATACTTAGCAACATAAATTAGAATAACCGAAATAGTAAAATAATTAGGTACAAAACAGCATAGTTGCCAACATATATTGGGGCTATTTCAGTACAACTTGCCATTTATATATAAAGCATACATAAATGGCTATTTTTATCCTTTTCAACAAGACATATTTTAAAAGGATAGTTAAGAGCATACCAGTTTACCTATTCATGTACAAAAGTACATTGGGAAAGGGAGAGGTTTACGTATCATTTACCAGAGCAGGATACTGTTAAAGGATAAATTCTCCCTCTAAGATGGTGGCAACTATTCTTTCCCTATAGATAAAGTGTTCATGGAAAATTTAAACATCTGATTCAATGCTAGGCCTTTTCTTATACACACGTGTATTGCTACAGGAATTTAAAACCCTTGGAGTTGTGTACAAGCTATTCCTATTTGCAACGTAAGGCAAAACATGCTCTGAAATGTACATGTCATTATGGATCCGACCATCCCTGGAAGAATATGATGCTGTAGATTGTATGGATGACCTTAAATAATTATCATTTCTTCCTCTCGTTGGCAATGAATGTTTATAAAGATCAGCTGGACTTCGCCTAAGAGATAAATGCTGGTCATCACGATAGGTGTGCAGGAAGGGGTTATCATCCGAGTGAACAGCATACAGGGACTTGCTCCGCTTACTGTCCTCCAGAGCATGAGTTAAAAGTGAGGCCTTGTTGCTCAACAGTTTGCTTGAGGGAACACTAAACATGCTTGCATATGGACTACTTTGAAGAAATTTCTCTCTTTCTTTCAAGCTTATACTACGAGAAGGTCTTCCAATATCAATTTCCCTGGACTTATCAGCGATATTATCAAAAGAGTGTTGCCTGCTAATCCTCAGTTTATTCTTTTTATGATATTGCAGAGCACTACTTTGTGACCAAGTACGCTCGTATATCTCTTCAGGGAGTGATAAGTTCGTTGTATCCTGCAGCATCTGATCTTCCTCAATATCATAGAGGTTCCCCATCCGCAAGCATGCATCGCATTTATAGGGAGATCTGGTCGAGTAGTGTCCCGCRTACGTGGGCATGTTGGAAAGACAGCTCCTGCAGTGGGTGGAATTCTGCCTGTACCTATCGTTCATGTCACCTAGGGAAGCATTTTTATCTTTGAGAGTGTAGTGCTTTGCATAAAGTTTATACTGGTCATTATTTGGAAGACTGTCTTCGTTTTGAGATGGAGGCCTGTTCGCGTGTTCGGCTTTCCTGAAGCTGTCGTTCTGATCTTGGTAAACATCAGGAAATTCTACAGTTTCTGGAAGGACAATGTTTTCGATGTACTGAGGTGTGTCCAAGCGGAATCCTGGCTCCTTGTCAGCATCAATCGTGTAGATTTTATCCCGTGGAGAGCCCTGTTTGGTTTTCAGATATGTCAGTTCCACTTCACTACAGTCTTTTGGGTATTTTGATGCTACTGTCCTTTTTTTGAAATTGTCCTTGGTTTTGTGGTGCTTGTTGTTGTTTTCACTTTCCATGTGGCAAGTAGCTCTGCTTGATGTCTCTGATACATCTGAATGGACAATCTCTTCAGGAAGGTACCTCTGGCTTTTCAATGAAAGCTGCCTGTTTTCCTCTGACCCGTTYTCTCTCTGGGAGCCTTGGCCCTGACGTACAGATTCCTGACGCAAAGATTCAACAGATTTCCTCCAAAGCTGCCTGGGTCTGGAGTTCACTTTTGCTTCTGTTGTTACTGCAACCTCTACTGTATTTGGATTGGATTCGTTCAGTGTGAGAGGATGCTGCCCTTGGAAAACATAATTGTTCAGATTGTCCTTGTGCCGATTGCCAGGTAGTGTCTGCAGTTCACTAATGTTGTCACCAAAGAAGTTGTCCTTTGTCTGAAAGGATCTGTTATCAGCRAATATCAAGTTTCCCTTATCCATGACCATGTCCATAATCAAAGAACCCCTCTGAATAAAATCAGCTGTTCTTTTGGGGGAGTCAATTCTTGAAGGATTGATATTGGTCATGTTTTTCGCTGTTCGCAGCAGTTTTAACATGTTGGTTTGTGAATTGGTCAAAGAAAAGTCAGGAGACTTCTTYTTCTCTTCAATGTGTACTCCATGAATGCAACTGTAAATACCCTGTAATATGAGTAGCATAAAACAAGTTAAATCACTATGTACAATTTTTTTAAACTTCTATTTTACTTTTAATTAGCAATAAAGAAAAATGAAACATTTCCTATCTAGTTACTAGAAAGATTAAAAGTACATCTCTGTCCTTTTATCACTTGCACTGAAATGGAGGAATATTTTCTGCCATATCTGTTAGAACTACAATAGAGAAAAATTGCCAGTATTTCAYAAACCAGTGGTCTGTCTTGGCCTACCCAGTTTTTTCCAGAATATAAGATTAGAAGGTACCGAAGGGTTCACTAATTTTGTCACAAAATGAAACTAACCTTCAGTAATGGATACTCTTKAATTTTAAACCAGTGATTAAGTCTCCCCTCTAAACAAACCTGTAGTGGGACCATTTTATTGGAGGTTAAGGTACTCTTCACTTGCACTGCAATAMAAAGGCTTCTAGTCAACATATTTAGCTTTTCTGATCCCTATCCCAGTACACATGAAAAAAAAAAAACAAAAACCCAGCTCTTTCTAAAGCTGAATCGGAATTAATTTTGAGCAAAAGGCTGAAGCCCATTTTCTCACTCCAACCTCTTCGGTCACTCCTGTGAGCCCAATTGACATTTCCAACCCTTTGAACTAGCATTTCTTAGATATTTACCTTTGACATAAGTACTTTTATTCCCCTGCATTTYTTAGGAAAATTTCATATAAAAATATAAAGTTCAAACAAAAATGTGGAGGTTAAGGTGCATATGGTTTCTAGACAAACCCCAACGGGGCAGTGCAGACTATTTTTAATATAGTTCAAAAATGGTCCAACCTACTCAACAGGGTAATTGCAGCACATTTTAAAGCAATTAGACATTTCACTATCATTTTCAGTTCTCCTCAGCTACATAAAAAAAATCCAGAAAAATCAATTACCTAATGAAAGCTCTTTTTAAAAAAATATATAAAGAATAAACCTGACCAATTTGTCAAAAATATAAGAATAAGCACACATWTCCTTTTTTTTCTTACAAGTATCAGTTTCTTGGATATGTAAATCCCCTTTGGGTCTGGTAAAGCTATCATTAAAACTTGCCTTAGTGTTTAACCAGACATAAATGATACCTATTTGACCTTTTCTCATACAGTTTATTCAAGCTTGCTATCAAGAAAAGCTTATCAAATATTCCACTGTATTTTTATAACTTAAAATTCTCTTGCTTAAGAAATGCACAAAGCTGAGAGCTAATATGGAAAAYAATCCATTTCCTGCATTTGAACTCCATCATTTCTTCATCAAAATTTCCCCGTAATGTATCTGTTTTCAGCATTTGATTGCTGGTTATCCTGGCATATGATAATTCCTAACCTAAATAACCCGATGGATAAAGACTTCCCACAGAGTGAAAAGACATCCTAAACCCAGTGACTACTCCAGAGTGTCACACTGATGGCTCTAACATGTATTTCAAATGTCCAGACAGTAATAAAAGGAAGGATCATGTTTTAGGGAGGCAATGTTTATTCTGTTTGTTGCCTAAAGGAGGAAAAGAAAAGCAGTACTGACCCTGCTGATGGAGAACAGCAATCCCGGCCTGTCYGAGCAGACTCCAGTGAAGCAGAATCTGAGTTTCCAGTAAAATAAGTGCTCCCAGACAAAGGTTATTAAGCTGAGTGCCATGGCTGCTGCAAGCATATAAAACACTCCTGCCATGTTGTCGATGTCCAGCTGGCTGCTCATGACTTCATTCTTCTCGTTGTGACAAATACCAGTCAGCCACAGGGTTTCTAACTCCTCCATTTCCCCTAGGGAGAGCAAGGAGTCAAACCAGTTAAAATGCAAAAATCACTGCTCACAGTATTCGAAAGTCTTTGCAAGTTTAAAAATACAGCACCATTTAATGCTTCGTTCGTGGAGCACTGTAGATTTAACTACCCAGGAGTTGCAAATATAGCAGATTTCAACTCACAGCACCCTAGTTTCAGATGTCCTCAGATTTCATAAATTACGTGGGAAGCTGGATGCTCTAGAAAGCAGGATCTGTGGTTTAGACAGAACTTTCTTCTGCTTGCTGTAACTATTAGCACTTGTTACTGAGAGTGGAATGAATTTAGCAAAGAGCTGGGACAGGCTGTGGTGCTCAGACAGAGCACTCATCAGAGAGGCATCCTGACACTCAACCAGACCCTTTCCTGCCCCCTCCACTCCACTGCCCTACATTTGTTCCTCCCTGATCCACTCTGACCCCTCCCTTTGGCCATTCCCTTTAACAACACAAGACAAATTTTCACGAGTTCTTGAGATTCTTTTAAAATAGGCCATGAGAAGTTTGCTCTTTCCCATACGATCTGTGATAACCTTATTTCTTCTTTTCAAATAAGTTGCAACGTTCTGGATGCACCTTTCCTGACACACCTGGTCTCTGCATTCATCTCTGCTATCTATTCCTTTTTGCTGCTGCCATTCCTGCCTCCTCCAACGGTCTCATCAYGTGCCTGAAATGGAGCATTCCTGGTTCTGGCTGTGCCACATCCTTACTGCCATTAAAACATTTAATTTACTTAAAGCTAAGGAAGCAAATCCRCTCCTTCTGTCTCTTGTGCATTCTTAACTTGGAATCCATATTTCACTGACAAGATTTGGCCTAGGATGAAGGACACTGTCACCTTAGCAGCGCTTGCTGTTGCCAGCATGGACAGAGGTGGGCAAGAAACAGCAATTGTTCCTGCCAAAYATTTTTTTATATGGCATGATTTAATAATTTTCAAGCATTTAGAGTTGTTCTCAGTGAAGCATTGCATGGGCAATGCTTTACTATCCAGGCCTTTTTATTCCCCTGGGATATAGTCAGCTGAGCAATTATATTATAACTTTTAATGTCATAAACGTCATTGTTTCTAGAGAATTCAGCAGGCAGTGCAGAGGGCCAAAAAGGACATTATAAACTTTCTTGGTGTGTTTTCCAATTTAAGATATGGCTTCAATCTGGGGGAAGAATTTCCGTGGTACAAATCCCTAATCCTTAGCCACTGATTMGGGACTACATTTTCAGTATTATAATTCATACATCACTGGAAAAAAAAGAAAAGAAAAAAAAATGACTAGAAGCTATATTGACATTTCAGCTACCTTCAAGCTAGACTAGAAGATCAATGMCCTGCTGTGCAAAAGCATTTTGCAGGATAGAGTGCCAAGGCACCAGGAAAGCTGCAGTCCTCAGATAATTCAGATGTGAGCTCCAACTGGAAATGGGACACAAGACTGTGATGGAGAAATTGCCTCTCACAGAATGTGAATGAAAAACTGAAGTAGAAAGGACAAGTTCTGATGCACTTTAGCAAAGGCATTTCACAAATTTGTAAGAGAGATTATTCGGTCTCCAGCTAATTCCGAGTTTAATTTTGTGCTTGAAGCATGAATTGAACCTCTACATCTGCAAAAGGCAATGTGTCTTCTTCCAAATTACAGTGCTCAATCTTCAGAATACCTAAGAGCATCCCAAAAGAAAGTCAATCCTAATGAATCTTTAAAAATCTTCTAATCCAGGACACTGGGACAATAAATTATTAATTGTAACAGTATAGATATTGCACACATAGATAATTTGGGTTCATTATTGCATTTCCATATCTTAGAACATTTGGATTTCTTTTGTTCTGCTAAACCTCAGTGGACTGTTTCCCTCGTCTCTCTTTCAAGTCCTCCCCAAGGTCTATGAATAAAACTCACAGAGGCTACAGAAGAGAAAAGAGCCCAAGCCCAAAGAGAGCAATATTTCTGGTCTGTGCTTTAGTAGCTGAAGTTCTGCCAATCAGATCTCATTACTTCCCACAGGAAAATTCACATCTCCCAAGATTGTCAGGCATCAATTTGATTTGACTGCTGTGCCCTTTCACTATTCATAATAAAATTCACGAAGGAATTTAAACCTCTTTTTTTTTACTGTTTCCTCTGTGCTCCTTTCCCTTTGGCATGTACATCTAAAGTAACTATTGATAATCCAGCAACCTTTCCAAAAACATCCCTACAGAAATGAACTAAGCCTGTTTTGAGCTGAGATAAATGACAGTGCCCTGGCAAGTAAAGAAGAACAAAGCATCCCAGAGCCTCCCAGATCCTGCTATTGCAGTATCCCTTCCATAGTAYCTGWCAATGACAGCAATCACTGTTAATTAATGCCCAAAAGGAGTCCACATTTTCATGGATAGCAAAGCACTGTGAACCATTGGATTGCCATATTTACGTAATGATGTTATCTGGGAACAGACAGATTAGGCTGATAATYCTGGTCTCTCCATATAAAGCAGTTGCCATTTCCTATATATATTTACATAAATAGATATATGATATATGTGCACAGTATATATTTATATATATGTGTGTGTGTGTACACACAGAAACACAGACAAAACAGTTAATAATTTAACTGTAGTAACACTTCAGCATAGCTGACCTTATAAAACTGGCAAAAATGCTCTATCTTCTTACTGCTTTTCCTGCCCATTACACTTTAAACCAGATATCCACAGAACCCATAACATTTTTATTACAAAATCCTCTAGGCATGAGAAACCTTTTTATCTGGGATGTCAATTCATTCCTTATTAAAATCAGTCAACTCCAAGCTTGGCCTGGAGTTGAATTCAAAATATTAAACTTTGAGGATAGTTATCATTTAGTTCAGAAAAAAAAATTAATTTCAATGAATAATTCCTTTTGGAGCAATGTTGTCTTTCAAATGCTTTTGGGTGGTCTGACTGGTGAGCTAAATGTGCAGGGTGATGACACTATAGCAATACATTAGTCGTGGCAATTGAAAGGCCAGTGATTTATGATTACCAGGCACTGGAGAGTTCAATCATATCCATGTGTGCACAATATTAATTAGCAAGTGAGAGCTCCAAATAATTCATAAAACAGACCTTGGAAATCTAAGCCAACAACCTCAATATAAATAAATGCCAGGCCTCACTGAACTGAGTGTTAATGGAGTTCAAGCCTGCATCTAATGGGGGGGGGTCTCAAGTTACTCATAAATATTAATCAGACTTATTTTAAGGCTTTTTGTTTTCACTTCAGGCACTTRCTAAAGGAATGTAGTGCCACAATCATTTCCTACCTTCATTCATGTGTGGACTAGATGAACATGTAAAGGAACAGGTGCAGATCTCAGCATCAAAGTACATCATGACACAAATGCAAGACAGAAAATTAAGAGTCCCAATGTATTTGACAAAAGAAAAATATAGTGTTTATCTTCTGTTTAACACATCCACAATATATTTAATCTGAAAAACTCACAAATAGCAACATGATTGCTACATTAAGAGATTTTTAAAAATTCTATAGCATTGTATCATAAAAGACCTGCCTCATTCATAGCGTAAGAATGAGTATATGCAAGTGCTTTAAAAATCCATAGTTCAAGCACTGTTGAGTCTCTGCAGTATTCATTCAAAACATACTCCAATAAATTGCAACATTCCAGCTCTCTCACTGGTAATTCAAGACTATTTACAATGGGTTTAGGTTACAGTGCAAACAGGGCTCTGATCCCTTTGTGTCCCTCCTGGGTTTGTTGCTGTGGCCATGGAGCTCTCTGCTCGGCTGCTATTTGCACAGAACCGTTGCCCATTTGGCCTGAATATCCCACAAGAGCCCTTCTTTCTACATTTTAGTATAAACCCCTCTAGCCTATTTCACATGTTATCATCCTGGGAAAGACTGATAAACTGTCCACTGTGTCCCCTGAACAATTTAGTCACAATAAAAATTCCATCATCCAGACACAGAAACGATACAGTCTGAAGGGCAGAATTAACGCTTTCCCTCACCAGGGCCCTCACAGGCCTTGCGGGCTGTGCCTAGCTGGCACACAAGCTGTCCTTCCACAGCCTCTGACACTGCCTTTTGGACATGTTTTAGTTCTCTGGGGTTTTTTTAGGGGGTTGCTGGTGTCCCCAGCTTCCTTTTGTTTCCACAGCACACAGGCAGCTGCAGCCACCAGAGCAGTGCAACCCCCAGCACTGGATCCACCTGCACCACTGCCGGCCCTTCAGCAGCTGCACGGGCAGCCACCCACCCCAACTCTAAAAAACACCACCTTGTGTCAATGAGAGCTGTCTGGACAAATTAATACTCCTATATATCGTGCTGTTTCACACATTGCAACCATCCCTGCTATGTGCAGCCTGTGTATCCTGCCTGGTCCAGCGGGGAAGGATGCCCTGTCTGAGCTGGGGAGCAGAGCTGCAGCCCAACCCCATCATTGTTCTGCTGCCCTGTCCAAGCAGAGCTGCAGCCCAGCACCATCATTGTTCTTCTGTCCTGTCCAAGCTGAGGAGCAGAGCTGCAGCCCAGCACTGTCACTGTTCTGCTGCCCTGTCCGAGCAAAGCTGCAGCCCAACCCTGTCATTCTGCTGGTTAAGGACAGCAGAGCTCTGGTGTCAGCACTTCTGGCACTTGCATAAGGCCCAGGCCAGGAGTGGGTCACCCAGCAGGAGATCACAGCGCCTTGTCACAGCAGAAGGTGCCAAGGGAACAGGCTGACAGCGTAAGGAGTGGTGGCTCTCGTGCAAACCGCTAACCTGAGGCTCAGCCTGAGCAGTCAGCACAGCAAAGTGCCATGTACAGAGCAGAGATGATGAACAGGAGGGTTAAATATACACAGTCACACTGGGCAGATGTAGGGCATCACCTTCAAACGGCCCTGGTGGCACTGACACAATCCTCTGCTTGTTCAGGCCAGACTAAAGGTACTTTTCAAATTTAGGGACTGGCTGTTCCATGTTTACTGTGGTGGGAA